CCCCCCCCCGTGCCTGTTGCAGGCCTGCGGCATGCCAGCCTCCATGCTTGGCTGCACAGCTGCACCTCTTGGGGCAAGGAAGCCCCAGGGGCCCCCTGCAAGACCGGGGGGGGCTGGGCAGGCATGCGCCACCTCTGCAGCCCTCCGATTTGGATCTACCACATTGAGGTTAGAACTGGGACCAAGTACATGTGGCTTTCTCATAGCTACATCTTTGCCTCTAACTCCCCTCACCCTGCCCCTAGAGAGTTTTTTGTTAATTTGATTTGGTGTGTATTGTCTGTAAGTCCTAGACCCAGGTTAACAGGTTTGGAATCATCGTCTGCTTCTCCTTTTATGACAGTTAAATAAAATCTTTGAACTGACAGTGTAATGTCCATGCTGCATTGTCAGCATGAAGTAGCTGAATGGGATTTCTGCAAACACTTAGGGTGGGAGAAGACCAGGATCTCTGGGCTTGCTAGAATGTGAAATGGGATCTGGGACAGCCCTTCCCAGAGGAGGAGAAGGCCCGTGGCAGTAGGTGTGCAGGATCTGTCCCTTGCTGTTTGCCCACAGTGTGAGGGGTTGGAGTGTGTGGGGCAGTGGAAACAGGGATTTCCAAGTGGGGGTCTCTTGCCAGCAGAGGAACAGGCAGGCTCTGAACCCACAGTGCAAATGCTCCAGCTGCACACACAAAGGGAAATTCCTGTGCAGTCACAGGAATGAGGGAGGCGATCACAGAACACAATCCAGGAGAGGCAGATGATAAGAGCCTGCGGATGTTTACAGAGCATGTGGCATGTTTGTGTTAAGGGTAAGGAAAGTGTAGCCATGAAAAGCTCTTTACAGAATCCATGGTGTGGGAGAACCTGCAGGAGGGGGCTCAGCTCTCTTCCTGGTCAAAGGCTCACGAAGGCAACTGAGAACTCTATAGGCTCCCTCTTGTATTTGGAGCTTACAGCACAGGTCCCTTCCTTGGGCCTTGGTAAACTGCTAAAGGGGATGATGAAACTTGGAAAGAACAAGGGCTGAAGGCAAGAGTCTGGGCTAGGCAGGAGCTGGCATGTGGCCAGTGCCCACTCCAGCCGGCACATGCCACTTATGCTGCTTGCTATGGAGAGCAGTGCCCAGCTGTGACCTCCCAGCCCTCTGCACAGTGTGGGACCATGGAGGACAGCGTGGGGATGGGAGCAGGGAACACGCCTTACTCTCAGTTGTGTCAGTTAGATGCATCCCAGATGTGCCTGATGGCGTGAAAAAAACCCCCTGTGCTGGTTCCCAACAGCCGCTCTGCGGTACCCAGCTGATGCAACCCCGACACTTAGGCAAGAGTTTCCACACCCAGGGTGTGGAGGCTTCTGTTAGACCGTTTTACCATGGTCGGAGGCCTGGACGGGCAGGACAGCTGTGTTATACTCCAACTCTGGGGATTCTCTGCCTCTGTTGTCTGGCACATCTTCCTCCTGCGGGGTGACAGCTGGGCTAAGGCAGCAGCTGATTCCCTCCCTACCAGACCAACGTGTCTATGCCTGCCCGACCCTGGGTGGCCGCCATGCCCTCACCGTGTGCTCAGCTTTACCTTCCAAAACTTCGCTGGACTCGCCCCGGGCCTGACAAAAACGTCTGGTTCAGTACGGGCCGCAGCTCCGGAACAGTCAACAGCCGCTCGGGGCAGTCGGATTGTCTTCGGGGAACCGGTGAGCGCCTCGCTCCCTGCGCCACTGGCCCAGGGCACCGGGCGTGGCCCCTTGCCTAGAGCAAAGAGCGGCGGCTTTGCAGCAGCCCCGAGCTGGCAGTGCCCGGGGCGCGGCCGGAGCCCGGAGTTTGCCCCGCTGCAGCACAGTCGGGTGACACACAGTGCGCAGGAGCTGCCCTGTGCCGTGTACCCTGTACCGCTACCCTAGCACGGGCAGCGCACACCAGCAGCAGTCGGGAGCCTCGGCAGTACCAGGGCAGCGCAGGCAGACCCGAGCGAGGGGATTTTCCCCCGCCACGGTCAGTAGACTCCTGTCCGCCAGGTTTCTCCTCCACAAGCTCCGCGTGCTCTAGAGCCTCAGCGGGCCCTGCGCGGCCTGGGGGGCACGAAGAGCCCCCGCGCTGGTGCCTTCTCCTGAGGGCGTGTGTGCTGAGAGGCCCCGCGGGGCCGCCAGCCCCGCCTGACCTCGCCCGGCCCATCTCCGTGACTGGCGAGCTTGCAGCAAAGCGAAACGGGACCATCCCAAGCTGCAGCCGGACCCGTGCCCGGCCCGGTCGGAGCCCTGCGCGGGTCACAGACAGGGTCGG